AAAAAAAAAAAAAAAAAAAAAAAAAAAAAGATATATTTTATGTATAGTAAAACTTGCCCTTTTTAATGTATAATTACATTATACACTGGACAAACACATACATTTTGTAACCACCACAATCAAGACAGAATAGTTCCAACAATCCAAAAAGCAACCTCAAGTCCCTTTGTAGTCAACCTTTCTAATCACCTCCAGTCCTTGAGCAATCATTCATCTGTTTCCATCCCTATAATTTTGCCTTTTACAGAGAGTCAAATAAATGGAATCATACGGTATGTATCCTTTTGAGACTGGTTTCTTTCGCTGAGCATAAAGCATTTGAGATTTACCATTGTTGCATACATCAGTATTTTGTCCTCTTTCTTCTCAGTAGTAATCTTTTGATAGATGTACCACTGTATTTATCCATTCACCAGGTGTAGAATGTATGGCTAGGGCAATTGTCGGAAGCCTGCCAATGTAGCCAATTGTATTGTTGGGTTAGGACTAGGGGTTAGGGCCTACAGACCCTTCAAACCCGTTGTACAGACTGGGTCACAGACCCCTCACATGCCAGGCTGAGTCACCAGACCCCTCACACACAGGTCCACAAGCTAGGTAATTGGGAAAGAGCCCAGGAGCCGCTGGCAGACAACATGAGCTCAGTCCTCAGCAGCAGCAGCAGTGGTGGCAGCCCCCTGGAGGGTCCCAGGGGCACGGGCAGCAAAAGCCTCTAGCAGCAGTAACGGCCTCCTCATGGCCCCCTCAGGGTATCACCAGGGGCTGGGAGTGCACAGGCAACAACAGCAGCAACCGCCCCATGGCCGCTGCCTCCCACCCCAGGGGTGGCATCCTGGGGGCAAGGGGTGCTGCAGATCAGAGCCACTCGTCCTTTATACTTAAGTCTGATAACCCAGGACACCTGGGTGCGAGTCAGACAACCCAGGAACACCTGGGTGCACATGCACAATTACATTAGACAATAAATAACCAAGGAACCCCTCGGTGCATGTGCATACTTACACATCAAATGCTTGGCAAGACTCTGAACATCTGAGGGAGCCTGACCATTTATCTTCACTTTCCCTACAAAGGACATTTGAGTTGTTCCAGCTTTTGGAGATTATGAATAAAGTCACTATAAGCATTTGCATACAGGTTTTTGTATGAACATAAGCTTTCATAAATTATTGTGTGAATACTAGTTTGCATTTCTCTAGGAGTGAGAAAAATTGCTAAGTTGTTTAGTAAGTTGTATTACCTATCCATTGCTGCATAAAAAATTACCCCCAAACACAGCAGCTTAAAATAACAAATGTCACACAGTTTCTGTGGGACAGGAATGTGGGAGTGATAAGTTCTGTCTCAGGGTCTCTCATAAGACTACAGTCAACATGCTGGCCAGCACTGCAGTCATCAGGCTTGACTGGGCATGGAAGATCCACTTTCCAGATGGCTCACTCATATGGGGCTCTGTCTGGTTAGTGCTATTGTTGGAATCCTGCCGACGTAGCCAATTGTATAGCTACATTGTCTGGCTAGGGGTCAGGTCTCACAGACCCTTCAAACCCACTGTACAGACTGGGTCACAAACCCCTCACATGCCAGGCTGGGTCACCAGACCCTCCATATGCCTCGCTGGGTCACCAGATCCCTCACATGCAGATCCACAAGCTAGGTAATTGGGAAAGATCCCGGGAGCCATTGGCAGATGACATGAGCTCAGTCCTCAGCTTCCTCAACAATGGCAGCAGCAGCAGCTTACAGCAGATCTGGTCTGGTGGTGTTGGTGGTGGCGGTGACAGCCTCCCTGTGGCCTCCCCAGAGGCATCCAGGGGGCAGGGGGCACCATGGATCAGAGCCACTCATCCTTTATATTTAAATCCGATAACCCAGGACACCTGGGTGCACATACATTAGACAACCAAGGAACACCTGGGAACATGTGTATATTTACAACAAATGCTCAGCAAGATTCTGAACCCCCTGAGGGACCCTGACCATTTATCTTCACTTTCCCTACAGGCCAGCTTTTGCCAGGAGGCCTCAATTTCTCCCCATGTGAACTTTTCCATAAGGCTGAGTGCCTTCCTGACATGACAACTGCTTTCTCCCAGACCAGTGACCTGAGAAAGATAACAAGAAAGAAGCTATGTCTTTCATAACCTAGTGTTAGTAGTAACACACTGTGACTTCTGCCACATTCCAATCATTAGAAGCAAGTCACTAAGTACAGTTAACACTCAAGAACAGAATAATTAAGCTCAAACTTTTAAAGGCAGTGTCAAAGAATTCATGAACACATTTTACAATCACCACGTAAGTACGTTTAACTTTATAAGAAAGTGTCTAATGGTTATTCTGAGGATACTGGAGAAACAAGCTTAGTTTCTCCTAATATGCTCTGAGACATAAAGGAGAAGCCAAAGTGTTTTTTCTATTCTCTACTCTCAGTTCAACACAATCACTTAACACTGTTGACACCAGATCTATGAGGGTTTTTCCCTATACACCAAGCAAGCAATTCTACAATGGACACCAGCTGGGAGTCCTCTAACTCAATTCAATTCTGACATTATCAACCTGGAGGGACAAAGACCAAACACATATTTCTCAATGTCACAGTTATCTGAAGTGGCTGTACCATTCTGCATGCCTACCAGCAACATACTAGTGTTCCAGTCACTGTGCACTCTGGCTGGCACTTGGTATTGCCTGTTTTTTGTTTTTGATTTTAGTTATTCTAATAGGTATATATTGGTACTTCATGTGATTTAATTTGTACTCCACTAATGACTAATGATATTGAGCATCTTTTCATGTGCTTATTTGCCATCCATGTATCTTCTTTGGTGAAGTATCTGTTCAAATATATTTTGCGCATTTTGAAAACAGGGTTGTTTCCTTTCTTGTTATTGAGGTTTGAGAGTTCATTATATATTCTAGATACAAATTCTTTATTAGATATGTGTTTTTCAAATATTTTCTCAAGCCAGTGGCTTGTTTTTTCATTTTCTTTCTTTTCTTTCTTTTTTTTTTTTTTTTGAAGATGACTGGTAAGGGGATCTTAACCCTTGACTTGGTGTTGTTAGCACCACGCTCTCCCAAGGGAGCTAACCAGCCATCCCTATATGGGATCCAAACCTGGGGCCTTGGTGTTATCAACACTACACTCTCCCAAGTGAGCCACGGGCCAGCCCTTGTTTTTTTTTTTTTTTTTCCTTTTCGTCTTTTTTTCGTGTCCAGCAACGGATCGCAACCCTCAGTGTCGCGCCCGGACCGGACCGGGACCGGCAACGGGATCACAACCCTCGGTGCTGCACCCAAACCTCGCTCAGCCAGTGAGCGGGACCCGGTCTGTATGTGGGATCCGAACCCTCGGCGGGAGTGCTGCTGCGCTCCCAAGCGGCGCACTGTAGCAGTGCGCCACCGGGCCGGCCCGATTTTCTTAACAGTGTCTTTCAAAGAGCAGATGTTTTTAATTTTTTTTTTTTTCCTTTTTTGTCTTTTTTTGTGTCTGGCAACGGATCGCAACCCTCAGTGTCGCACCCGTACCGGACCGGGACCAGCAACGGGATTGCAAACCTCGGTGCTCCACCCGCACCTCGCTCAGCCAGTGAGCGGGAACCGGTCTGTATGTGGGATCCGAACCCTCGGCGGGAGCGCCACCACGCTTCCCAAGCGGCGCACTGTAGCAGTGCGCCACCGGGCCGGCCCAGATGTTTTTAATTTTGATGAAGTCCAATTTACCAATCTTTTTTCTTTTATGGATCGTGCTTTTATTGGTATATCTGAGAAATCTTTGCCTAACCCAAGCTCAAAGATTTTCTCCTATGTTTTCTTCAATAAGTTTTACAGTTCATGTTTTTCATTTAGGTCTATGATCCTTATTCCAAATGGATTGTTAAAAATTAATTTACAAGTATAAAATCTATTCTAAAACAGATTTCAAATATAAACAAAAAAGACCTTTTTTGCCCACTACCACAAAATGCAATTATTCCTCATTTCCCCCATTCAACCTCTCCCCAACTTCCCTTTTCCCCCCTTCCTGCCCTCCCCACCCCCAGCAACCCTAG